AGGGGGGGGGGGGATAAAAGCCAAACATAACAGTTTTCACAAGTTAAAAACTGATGCAATTACCATGGCTTTACATCAAACATTTAGTTATCTTATCCCTTTTGTATTATGCAGAGCATAAGGGACGTTTTCTAAATCTAATTGCATAGTTTTCCGATCAGTATATGAACATAACAAACCAATCAAACTATAATAGGTATAGTTTGGGGATTTCATTGCCAGTCTTAAATATTCAAACTACGTACAAAGTCAATCATTAAACTATGTTAGATTTAGTTTATTCATTACTACGAATACAAAACTAGAGTATCTTGCTAAATAATTATTTTTTTGTATAATTATTTATACTCTACATCGTTACAAACGATTTTGAACTCGAGAACAACCGAACAACACGTAAACTACTTAATATAGGAATCTGAGACTTATCTTCATTATGCCCCTCAAGGTACCAATAAATCCTCACCGGTAGTATAACCAAAGTCTCCTGGAGAGGGAGCGTGAAATTTGTGAATAGATCTATTCAATACCGATAATCCCACACTTGAACTATTAGCTACAGTTAGGCGGGCACGCCTGGGGTGACAAATTTTCTAACCGTACGACACTTGAAGAAACGTCAAGGAGGTCATCAGTCATATTAGCATTGTTATACGACTCACAATAAGTACAAACTAACCTTTGTTTATGGGATTTATTTCTTCTATACTTTTATTTTAAATTAATAAAACAACATATCTACTTACTGGAGGGTATTCCAGGGACACAACCTATGGTTTTATTTTAAGTAATAAAACTACTATACATACTAGTGATAGCTAGGGTTTTTGAACATATCTTACACTACATACTGGTGATAACAAGGGTTTTCAAACAGGAACATACTTTTCATAAAGAAATCAATGAAAATGTTAGAAAATATTGGATTTTCTCGGAAAGCAAGCATACATATTTTAGAACTTGATAATAATGGTTTTTGACACAAACGACATTATACTTATAATGTAAAGAAATCATTTATACAAACTCAGTGACTAGTTTTCAATACCAAATCATGCTTATGAACTCACCAGCTTTATGCTGATATGTTCTCAAAATCGCTTGTATTCTTAGGGCAACAATAGACAAGTACCTTCGCCAGCTTTTGGAGAAGACGAAGCATTTTGGAGTCTCGTCTTTATCTTTTGTTTATATCGATGTATATAAGCTATGTTCTCAAACAGATGTAAATATTCATATTGTATCGTAATGGTTGTGTTTACTTTGATTGTTATGATATGATTGTTGTGATACTACGCATGACGTTACCCGCCCCCGGACATTTCCATCGTTGTTTCTGACGGTTCGGGGGTGTGACATAATGCGTAATCATAAGTAACCAGAGGTGAGATAGCCACCCAAACGATGAGCATGCAAGAAAGCCTAAATCAAGAGTTCTCAAGCAATCTTACATGACTACATACAACCCCTAGGGCACTCCACTACACAATAACTTGCCTGCTAGTAATCTAACTAACATACCACTACTACTGCATCTTATAACACAAGGATATATATATATATATATATATATATATATATATATATATATATATATATATATATATATCAGATCACTATTGCATAACAGCATCCTACACACAAGGATACATAACTAACTCTACAAGGAATGTGTGACTGTATGTACCCAGAGGTGAGATAGGCACCCTAAAAATGATCCTACTATAGAGCCACAAGCAAACGAGGAACATGCAAGAAAGCCTAGATCAAAAGTTCTCAGTCAATCCTATGCGACTATATACAGTCTCTAGGGAATCGTTTTAATAAAAGATAACCAAAACTAGTGGGTCGGCATTGGTGCCTTCAACCCATGTGTACAGTGAGTAAAACTCACCTTAATTAAAGAACCTGGAAACAGTACGATGCGCTCCCCTTTCTACATTCCTTGCTCCCTCAAATCCACTAACACCAAAATCAGGTAGAATCTTAATCAACAATCCAAAATACTCAAGTTTGACCCAAAGTAAAACTTAGTCAAAAAGTCAATGGTCAATGGAAGTCAAAGAAAGTCAAAGTCTAAGGTAAGCTGAGTAGGATATGTATTCTCCATTTATATGCATTTTGCACGAGAGTCAGACCCAGTACATGCTGCTTACTCCCTAGGTATGCCCTGCGTACTTATGTCCAAAACAAGTTCTTTATTTTGTGATTTTTCCCTTAAGACCTTTCATCCTACACTTAGATCTAGTCCCAAATGACATCCTAAATCATAAAGTTTCCAATTTTTTGAGTTTACATGGCTATAAAGAGTCCAGATGCAAAACCCTAACTCGTCCTAAGATTCTAAGCTTTAAAACACATGCATGAATGGAAGGAAAAGATCAAGATTGCATTTTTATGACCTAACACCGTCATATGCACTTGAAATGCACCATATAAGATCTAGAACAACTCATACTCAAATGTACCAATTTGTGGGACAAAAAGGACATAAATTTAACATCAAATCCAAATATGCCATTAGAGGCATAAAGGCACAAACTTTATGCTTTATGGAGATGAATGAGGGATAAGAACTTCCATATCTTTAGTTGCTTCAAGATTCTAAGCACCACCATCAACTTCTTCTTTCTTCAAAGGTACCAAAAAGCACACTTTTAAGATCCCAATGCACCCAACTGGGGTTAGGGTTTCAAGGAGGACGTTTGGGGGAATGGAGGCTAAGAATGGAAGGGGCTTATGAAGGTTAATGTGCTTAAATAGGGCTTAAAACCCTAATTTTAGGGTTTGCACACTGGTCAAGTATGCCCAAAGTACTCTTATTTATTCCAATGTAAGTCATTAAATCTCGTTACTCCTTGCTTAACTCTTATTTAACCCCCCTCACCCCCCCTCCCCCCCCCCCCCCCCCCCCCCCCGTAAATGGAAGATCCACCACTTCCACTCTAACATCAAATGACTATAACTTCTTCGTTTCCACTCCGTTTTCGGCGTTCTTTATATGCATGTAAAGGTATCGCAGAGCCCCACAATCCTATCTAACTATTTTTAACTAATCACATCTCGAACTAAAATCCTTCACATATGCAAGAAACTCGATCTATAACTTTACCCTTTCTACCCTTTGGTCTAACACACACTTCAAGGGTTTGATCTCACAACCTACATTACCACCTCCCAAAGCGTCTAAACTTTACTTCCTTAAGGCCCAAATCCTTTACATGATTAACCTTCGGTCTGCAATCCTAAATTAAGAAATGACTAGAAATCGGGTGTTACAAATTGCATGTAGCGCACCCTCAAATTTCCCCTGTATATATCTTCGATTTGAAGTTCATTCCTCACCCCATTTCCACTCAATATCTCTGATAGTCTCTTGTTCCCCTAGCCACTTTACTCCCTAGTTCTCGAATACTTTAGGGAAGCTCGGTGGCAATAGAGAGTCTGAGAAACAGAAGTTCCTTGGTTAGAGTGTTGCCCGTACAGTTACCGATTCCCTTTAGAAAACTCTTTAAGTTAAGTTACGCTTATCTTAATTCAAGTGTAAGTTATATTTATGTTCATAGTGAACATATTAATAATATTTATTAGTGATTCCAAGTCATTATACTGATTGATCATATTACGGGAATCATGTGTAGGCTGGATGATAAATGTACCTAGAAAGCAACCTCCTGATCCCCTCATATTCCACCTAAGAATAATGATTAAATGTTACGGTACAATGGAATTTGTAACAACTTCGTATTGTTTTGTTATTTATTTATTTATTTATTTTTGTCTAGTTGGTATGAATTTTTGGACATGGAACAATGGAATATATCTAACTTGGTATTTTTGAACACTTTTTGTGTATTTTGAAACTTAATTGTAATGCTGTTTTTTAGGCGTGCGTTTGAATATGATTATTAACAACTATTGAATTTGGTTTATTTGGCATATTTGACAAAAAAAACTGATTTTTTTTTATCTTTTACCATTTTGTTAAATAAAATGAATTTTCCGACAACATATTGATGGAAAACTGTCTGTAATGTGAGCCGTTGTAAATTCGTTGGTAATAAAATTAAATTCATTGACTATCCGTAGGAAATGAGAATGTACACAACAGTTTTTTGTCTTACACAACAATTCATATATTATATAGTTGTATAATACAACATTTTAAAACACTAATTGTTGTTTATGGAGAAAAATTGTTACGGATCAGCTTCCATAGGAAATTAGTCGCTATTGCTCTATGTAGTTATTTCATTGGTAATTAACCAACGGAAAATGGTCGTCGGTATTCTTCAGCCATGCAGTAGCAATAATTACCCATGATCCAATATCTTACAACCATTTCTTCGTCTGCAGTGCATAGGTATCGTCCTATTCTGATGTATATACCGACAAATAATGTCATAGATGGTTGTTGATTTTCTAGTAGCGTTAGGGAACACGCAATTTCTTCCATTTGACAGTACCGCGTGGCAGTGACGACTCCATTCAACTAAGAGAGGTTTAACTTTTAATAGGCAAAAAGTTTAATATACTAAGAGTGTTTAACTTGTAGTAGGCATAAAATTCATATAGTATTTGCTTCAATTATTGATAACATATAATATTTATGCTTTTTGTCCATTTTATTAATTTTATGTTAACTATAAGATTAAAGTAGTTATTAGATCAACGACCTAATATTTGAACTCTAGTGATGTATTTTTAGACTGTTATTTTGAACTTTTAGACAGTGACATTTCCATTTATGTATGTTTAATAGTAACATATTACTTTTTTTTCTTCATTTTGATGAATTTATCTTAATATTTACATTTTTTTCCATTAACCGCCCTAGTAAACTCATTTAATTACAAAACACGGTTTAATTCAGATTCTATTAAGTTAACTCTGTAGTAGATATGACGTATTTTTCTAATTTTTTTTTTGTCTTGTAATCGTTTTGACATATAAAGGCTTGCGTTCACCTTCCAAAATTTTCCGAAACCATGAATTGCTCTAAAGTCCAAAAGATCAAACGTTCGAAAGTCAAGAAACGACGAAAGATCGAAGCTCACGAGTCAGGACCTAATATTGATGTATAAAAGTAGAATCTGCCATACATGCATCCACCCGCAGTACTTGCTAAGAAAGAACAAACTGTGCTTTGCGGTATTCTGCATCCCGGAAACCATGGTATCAAACGGCTCCACTATTCCTCAACATGCCCATGCCGCCATTAGCATGGAGGTACCACTAAAGACGTCGGCATCACCACCGGAGTACATTGCTACTAGACTCGCATGTGGTTCCAAGAAGCATGCAGTTATTAATTTGTTCTCTAGGGTAGTTATACTTGCATCTGCCGTTGGTGGGATAATTCTTCTCATCACTTCTAAACAAACGAAGCTTATTACAATTGCACCTGGGCTAGCAATATCCAAGGTTGCAAAATTCAGTCACTCCGATGCTCACAGGTAAAAAACATCAATTTCCTCCACTACAACTATGCCCAAAAATGGGATTTATTGTGGAATACGATATTTACAGTCTTGTTATGATGCAGATACCTTCTCGCAGCTCTATGTACGGCTGCTTTATACAGCATCATCACTGGCTTAATATCAGTTTTGGCGCTCATGAAGCCAGGAGGCATCTCATCAAAGCTAAAATTTCAATTTGTGATACTCGATTCGGTATTAGGCTAATTTCTTTAACTAAGATAGGTCGATTGTTTCATCCAAATATCAGCAATGCAAAATAAATTTAGATGAAGAATAGATCGTTTTATCTTTGAAAAAGGATACTAACTTAAACGAATATGGCACAGCTGCTATTAGGTATCATGGCTGCAGCAACAGGAGCATCAGGAGGTGTATCTTACGTAGGATACAAAGGAAACTCTCATAGCAGGTGGAACAAGATATGTAATATGTACAATTCTTACTGCATGCATGTTGGAACCTCTATTTTTTTATCATTCATATCCTCCATAACATTTCTATTTTTGGTTTGGATCAACGTTTATGCACTTTCGAAGAAGATCGCCAGGCGATAGTTAATTGCTTGATATCATATATATTTCCGAAGTACAAGTTTCATGTTATTCATATTTTTAGTGTAAGTTTTCTATGCACGTACGTGTTTACTTCGTGCCTGTCTTAATTTGTGCTTGTGACATTTGTGATTGATAAAGATAACATTAAAACTTTATAGTTGATTTTGTAATATTTCAAATCATTATATCTGAACGTATCAAGCTAAACTATCACGGTACAATTTAATTAAAGCTTATATGAAATCTTTTAATGTCTAGAGAGGACGATTAATTTGTAATGGTGCTAAATGGACCCTATTTAAGTATTAAATGGACATTTTTTTGGAACCGGCCAATGAAATCATATTAATGAAGGAAAAAGAACAAGCGAAATAGAGATAACCACAAGTTAGTGGCGGAACAAAAGTTCTAAAAACAAAATGCAGAGAAAACAACATGAAAAAAGTAGGGCATTGAGACCAATTTGCCCAAGCTAATTCCCCCATCTTACCCCTCTTCACCCAAAGAAAAGTCACTGACTTAACTATTTCTATGACTTTATCAGTGGTAACCGCTTTTTTTAAAAGACTCTTTCATTCGTTGCCTTCTAGATACACCATAACATACCATAACAAATTACCACAATAATTTTCCTTCTTTTTGGGCACGACCCCCATGTAGCAACAAAATCCAATAAATCGTTCACCTTATTGAAACCACCAACTTGCACCTTACACCACCTCCATATCCCATCAGCCACCTTTTTTGCAAAAGAGCAATCCACAAGAGCATGGTCTGGGCACTCGTCTTTCTCCTCGCACATACGACATGTGAATGTTTCCAAGTTTACCCCTCCTTTTGAATGCTCCGTTGCGGTAGAAATTCTACCATATTTCACCCTCCATATGAAGCATGATACTTTCAATGGTATTTCTTTAATCCATTGGACATTATAGTTACTGATAGGGGGCAGATAATCACACCTTTTTCTAAGGGCGCACACTGTAAATGATCCGTCCGAGTTTAAACCGCATCTCCATTGATCTCGAGTGGTACCTGATTGCTTGGATATCACAGAGCTAATCGGGATTCCAATTTTTGTGAGATCTTTCTGAATGCCTGCAATATTGTTCCATACTCCTGCTAGAGACTTCAATGAGTAGCAGTCATCAGGTTTGGATCGAAGATTGTGCAAGCAGTTGATGACTACAGCCCGTAATTGACCCGACTCAGTTTTGATCTTCCACCACCATTTCATTATGAGGGATATATTAAGAGCTTTTATCGTTCTGACACCCAATCCTCCTGATTCCTTGGAGGCAGTCACCTTTTCCCACGAAATCCAGTGTATTACTTTCTTATCATCCGATCCACCCCAAAGGAATCTATTCCTCATCTTTTCAATTATCTCAATTACACCTTCATGGGCCACAAATAAAGAAACGTAATAAGTTGGGAGGTTTCCTAAGACTGACTGAATAAGGGTCAATCTTCCACCAAAGGATAGACTTTTAGATTTCCAATTTGAAAGTTTTGCTTAGAATCTGTCAATAATGATTTCCAGTGTTTCTTCAACTTCATATTTGATCCAACGGGGACTCCAAGATATGTGAAGGGGAGGGAGGCATGTGCACAACCAAGGGGACCAGCCCAGTTTGCAACCTCCTGCATATTAGTTCCAATTCCAAAGACCCTTGATTTGTGGAAGTTAACTCTAAGCCTTGATGCAACATGGAAGTAGTGCAAGATGCTTGCTAAGTTATTGATATTTTGTTTAGACCACTCCCCCAAAAATAGAGCATCATCTGCATATAACAGATGAGAAATTGTTGGTCCCCTATTAGGCAGCTTAATGTCGTGAAAGATACCAAATTCACATGCAGATCTCATTGCTACGCTAAGACCCTCCATGGCTGCAATGAAGAGGAATGGGGAGAGCGGATCTCCTTGTTTGACACCTTCAGATATCGAGAATTCTTAGGTTGGGCATCTGTTAGAACAACGTTCTATTAGGATCGTATGATTCTAAGCAAGATATAAAATAAGAACGTAATAAGAACACAAGTATTGCGCTGAATGTGTCGAATAATTAATGCAAATAACACCTCAGAAGAGCTCGATAAAGAACTTCAATCTGTAGAGGCATTTAGGGTTACAAAAATCAATGTAATGAAAAACTTATCAATATATATATATATATATATATATATATATATATATATATATATATATATACTATAATCCTAGCAATCAATCCAGATAACTACGTAACTAATCTATATAGACACGGATGGACAGGCCCAATCCGGATTACAAAACACTTAGCCCAAGACGCAACACAAATATACTCTCCAATCTCCCCCTTTGCGTCCTTGGAGCAGAAACTTCATTCCCTCTTGACAACAGAAGGTTTCTTCACGGTTTTAAACACCTTTGGTATAATAGCCAGAATATGATGTGGAAACGTAATATACCACCGAAGCATGTCTGTGAAGTTCTTCTTGTCAGCCACTGAGTTCTGCTTGCATCGATGAATGATATTTATGATATGCTCCAAGCAATCTGTTGAAAACAGATGCTTATCGACCAAAGCGAATAGAAACTTGTGTCTATCACCTTTAGTGAACATAACTGTCAGATTTGCTGAATCAATTTGACCTAATTTCGTTTTGTTCACATCACTAGGCTTAGACGTCGACTTCACAGTAGGCTTTCTGTTCATAACCTTAGCTATCTCCTGATCCATGGTTGCTAGCTCATGAATATAGGAGGCCAACATTCTCTTAATGTGTTCAAGAATCAGCTCATATTCCCTGGGATTAGAGAGCAGAATGTTGTATAGCAGAATCCAATCATGTGGATTAAGGTTGGGAAGATCTTCCAGAGAGATAAAAGACTCCGTGTTTGCTGAACCACGGTTGATCTTGAAATTGACATTGATAAATCTCCCTGTAGATAAAGGTTTCAGTACCTTGACTTTAGTAATTTTCTGTGCGCTCCATGTCAAGTACTGCGGTTGACCATTCTTCAAATAAAAATCTATCAGCTCTCTGTCAACCTTAGAGTGTGGACCTGGGACCTCAGAAGTTGCCTCAAAGCAATGGAAAGTGAATGCTTTTCTGGTTATTGGCATGTCAAACTGTGAGTCTCTAGAGTTTTCACAGTCAAATGAAGCAACTGGTTCCAACCAATAGACAAATGAAAACTCAATCGCCTGAGTGATAAGTGTATCTCTGTCCCATTCTGGAAAAAGAGCCTTCTTCCACTGCAAGGCCTCTTTGAATTCCTTATTCTTCTTCTCTCTTTCTTCAGCCTCTCTGGCCACTTTCATGGTTTCATCCAACTCTTTGTCTCTCTTCTTCCTCCTGAGAGCATCTGCAATAGTCTCTTCTTCCGTATCACTATCAGTTGGAATATGAATCTCTTTCTATTTCAGCTTTGGTTCTGTTTTGACCTGTTGTACACCACCCTCTCCCCCTTGTTTTGGAGGTATAAACCCCTCCAAAACACCCTTCATATCGCTAAGTATGGAAATGGCAGGTAGGAGTTTGGATTGAAGATGTTTTCGAATTGTCAAGGTGAGGATAGGATCATGAGCTTCCAGCAAGTTGGTCAGCATATCCTTAACATCTCCTGAACAACTTTTGTACACCACCCTTTGAGTTTTTAACAGAGAGATTTCAATAGTGGCTTGCTGTTTGACTAGATCCTCCTTCAGGGCACTCTCAGTTGCTAGATTTGCAGTTAGAGCATCAAACCGAGAGTCCACCGAGTGCAAAAAGGAGGTGGTTTCTGTTTGAAGCTCAGTACGAACAGCTTGAAATATTTCAGTTTCTTCACGAAGAGACTTAGAGAAGGAATCCACCGAAGCTTGATATTTTGCTGCATTGGTGTCAGCATGAGATTTTAAAGAGTCAAGGAAAATCTGAGTTGTATGAACAACCTCAGAAACTTCCTTGGTGGCCTTCTGACATGTAGAAGCAGACTCATCCACAACCGCTGTAGATTTATCAATAGCATCCATGTACTGTTGAAGAGCCATCTCCAAAAAAGCTTTAATAACCACTCCTCCATAAGCTTTGCTATCAGCAAGCAATTTATCCAGCTTTTCATTAATGTCTTGGATCTGCTGACTTGTGACAGAAGCATCAACTGTATCTTCAAATGGAATTCGATAAGGACTATAGTAGGTAGAATCAAAATCCTGATCATCTCCCCCAAGAGTGGTTGCAGAATCGGAGGATTTGGTTGGTGAAGGTGGTAAGTTGATGATAGGAGATTCATTCACAGTAGTAGCCCCTGTATCAGATACATTGACTTCTACTGTGGGTTTGGGAATGGTAGTTGTGGTAGATTCGATTACAAGTGGAGTGGAGAATGGTATGGTTGAGATAGGAACAGAAGCACTTGGTGATGAAGATGGCATAGCAGTTGTTGGAATGATAACTGGTGGAGTATCAGCAGGCGCAGAGAGGTCAACTTTCTGTTGTGGTGATGGAGGAGGAGTTGGAAGTGTTATTTGTTGTGGAGATTCTGGTGGATTTGGGGAGCGTGGAGGAGTGAGCTCTCGAGGTGAGTCATGATGTACTTCCTCTTCCTCAGGTTTTTCAGCATCAGGTTCTGTTCTTGGAGAAGTGCGTTGTCTTGGCCTACGAGCCATCTTCTTTATCTTCTTCGTTTTCGGTTTAGAAGAGTCCCCTTCATCGGATTTTCGCTTAGAGGACTTGGCCTTTGGTTCCTCAGGTTCCTCTTTCTTTGTAGGATTCTTGGCTCGGTTGATTGGTTTCTCCAATGCATCTAGGGCAGCTTGCTGCTCTGGAGTTAGAACCCTCGGTCCAAGAGGAGGTAGTTTTCTATAATCGGCCAGGACGTTGCTCTGTTCTGAAACACATCTATACATTGATTCAGGAATCATTCCATAGTGAAGAAACTTACTGGGATCTGAAATAATAATTTTCTTCGTATGGAAGGTTGTGATTGTAGCAAGAAGAGCATCCTTCATGATTGGGATCTCCAATGAATCGATAGCCTTCTTGGTAATCAGAGTCCAAAAACGGCC